ATGTTGAAGATGAATGTGATGACGATGTTGAAGATGATGTTGATGATGATGATGAATGTGATGATGATGTTGTTCATGATGTTGATGATGAGGATGATGATGATGATGATATCGATGATGATTGTTGTGCAGATGGCGATCAGACAGTTGAAAGCGTTCGTTCAGGATATCAGTTCTCATCTTACCAAGGTTTTTCCTGTTCTATATAGATTATCATCATCATCATCATCAGATTATCTTCATTATCATCATCATCAGATTATCTTCATCATCGTCATCATCAGATTATCTTCATCATCGTCATCATCAGATTATCTTCATCATCGTCATCATCGTCTCCATCATCATTTCATTCTATATCCCGTTATCGTTGTAATTATCATTGTCACAACCCCTCCAGCCTATCATCATCATCATCTTCACCCTCATCACCATCACTCTCATCATCATCACCATCATCATCTTCATCATTATCACCATCACCCTCATCATCTTTTCTCTCACCTCACGCTCACCCTAACTATCATGTTCTTCTTCTGCCTAATTTTCTCACCTTTGTTTACGTTAACTTGATTGGTTCATTCTATGAAATGACCTGAAGAGTAGTAGCCAATCATGGTTCAGTAACTATCATTATTATTTCTTTGAATTGAAGTCTCTGGACAAATCAAGTTACAGCAAGACTGTGATCAACCCGACATCCCTGCTCAACACAGCATCCCAGTTCTACTTCCTCTTCATCGCTCGCATGTCCACCTCTCCCAATGGCGCCAGATTGTTGAATGAGTGCCTAATATTTGATACGTTAGTTGTTCGTTCGTTTGTTCGTTCGTTCGTTGGCTGTTCAGCTAATCAGTTAGCTGGCTGGTTGATTGGCTCGTTAGTTATCTAGTTATCTGGTTGGCAGGCTGGCTAGATGGTTGGTTAGTTGGTTGGTTGGTTGGTAAAATATTTTTTCAATTGTAACTATCAAAATAATCTTCACATGATGATTTTTTTGAAAGAATATGTTTTCATCACTTTTTTAGTAATTTCTACATCGTCAGCGAAGTGAAGTTTAATTAAAATTTTAATCCACTGGTATTTAATCTGCCAGTCAATAACTTGTTCATAAATTAAAATTCATTCACAACAATGAATCAGCCAATCAATCAATCAGTCAATCAATTGACACATGCACCAGGTTCTACCAAGTGGTCAGCAACCCCTCCACATCAGACATCACCATCAAGTTGATCATTTCCTCCCTCAACTACAACACACCACCACCACCATCTTCACTTCTCCGACTCTCACCACCTTCTCCACCACCATCGGCATCACCACAACCCTTTACGTCATCATCATCATGCCCACTCTCGCTACCGTCATCAGCATCGTGTTCCAGGGACGCCCAAAGCATACTCACAACGGTCATGTCCCATCCATGTGAGGTAGGTAGGTGGGGGGGTAGGATTACGTCATCATCATCATCCATGTGATGTTCAGGATACGATATCATCATTAAGTTTATCATTCGTTTAATGATGTGATGTTCAGGATACGATATCATCATTAAGTTTATCATTTGTTTAATGTTCATTTTATTTAAATTTTTTTCGAGAAATCTCGTCTGTACTGTGTCAGCTTCCTCCGTGTGCTGTTGCGGTGCAACCAATCAGGCTTCGGGGATTGGTGCATCTCCCTTCTCATTAGCCGACTGGCTGACGATTTGAAATCTGTCGCAATGGAGGCTCTGTCCGTGCTCTGCGAGGCCTCTGAAGTTGAGGTACCATGTTGCGATGTTTCGTTGTGACGTTTCTAAACACCTCTCGCATTACTTTCCAACAAGACGTGTGGCTGGTTGATTTTGAAATG